CCCGAGATCTATTTCCAGTTATGTAGATAAAGTTGGATTTTATTTTGAGAAATCATAACCACTGTGACCCTAAATTCCTGTTTATGTATTAGGAGAAGTATTTAGTTTAGTTATATTATTAACAGTTTAATGATATCTGCGTATCTGATATCTGTAAAACATTTCAAATTTCCCAAATGGAGAGCAGCACAGAAAAGACAAGCAGGCAGTCCCCATAAAAGTCAACAGAAAACAGAAACTCTATCTCTCTTCTTCTACAACTCAAATCATATCTATTTCCCACATGAAGAGTTTTAGGTGGCATCCATAAGTCCGAAAAAGTCAGACTTTCTTATGATAAGGGGGTCTTTTAAAAATCCAAAAGAAACTTGTATTTGAACAAGAAGGTGCACATCTTGCAGTTCTCAGCCAAAAGTCTTTTGGAATTGTTAGGATTTTTTACCATTTAGGAACTTCAGCGTTTCACCTATAGATAGCATTCATAAGAAAAGTTTATGATAAAATCTCAGCTATAGGGAAATAATATAATGATCAAAAGCAAATAGCAAGTGGAAAGAGATTTTCCCTTTTCGACTATGCAATGCTCTTTTGTTGCCACTACACCAATTCTTTAATGCCATGGAAACTATCTGATAAATGTATTAGAAGCTCAACAAATTTCATAATATTGAGGTAGCAAAGCAATTGGTATTGTTGACAGAGAACTGCTCTGAGCACCTATTTTAAGGAGAAAAATTATCTAAAAATAAAAATCATACTTTGAGCAGTATTCAATGGAAGTACACAACAGTCACAGAGAACACGAAATGAAGCTACCCTAATCATATTGGATCATTGCAAAACATGGAAGGATGAGAGGGGAAAAAAAAGCACGCCTTGAAATTACAAAAATGAGATACAAATTACTTAAAATTTAACAGTCTTACTTTTGGATGGTTTTACTTTACCCAACTTCTGTATTTGTAATGAGGGCGAGGGGGGTGGGAACAATACTGTGAGTTACATGAGAGTTTTCTGTCCAGTTTCTCAAGATGGCATATGATGTTTTTAATCATCTATATGTATGTCTTCATCCTCTGCACACTCCCCTATCACAACAGACACGGGCAGAAACTCAAATTAACTTCTCCTTTTAGAGGTAAATACTGAGATTGATCTGTTTTCACATGTCCAGCACTACAATACACTTTTTTTCCAGCCAAATGCTTTCTAACATTGCACTGCTGTTGATCTACCTCTAGAGACTTCTAAGTAAAAAGAGCAGCTACACAAAATGAAAGTAAAATAGCCCTCCAATAAATAATACACCCACCCAATAAATAATACACCTATCCAATGCATTCATAATCCTATCTTCCTCTATAGAACAAACCCAATTTCAGGCACACAACAAACTTGGTTTACAAACTCGGGAGGGATTTCACTAAAGCACAGAGGTGGAAGCAACTGTATCACAACTTCAATTTGCACTTCTCATCCCATTCCCTCACACTTGAAACAAAGGAGAAAACTCTGGGTTTAAAGTGTTATATTGGACAACAGTTGTTTTAAAAAAGGTAACTCCAAATTAGATCTAGTCACAACACAATAAATAAAAATATAATTAAATTTTCAGAAAAGTTAAGTCCTCATGGCAGGCAGACAGAGCAGTTTTTTGGTTTGGGGCTTTTGAAAGCCTAAACTCAGCCCAACACAGCCTCAGAAGGCACATCTTATTTTCTAAACACATTAAATGTTTATTTACAAAGTGATACCATACACACACTTTTAAAAAAAAAAGTAACAATTTCATTTCTCCATATTTTTTTTCCTGGAATAAGCAATACTGAAAATTCCAGTTGTTCTTATTACATTTCCTAAATAGCAGCTTATCCTTCGGACTTGCACACAGCATCAAAACATACCACTCTCTTCTACTTTTCTTTCCTGAAACATTTTTATTACCAAATGAACAACAACAACACTGCCTTATCTGTTTTTGCAATTCAGGCATGTATGTTCACAGAAGGCAACAGACTGCATTAAAACACTACCAAAACAAGCCATTTCACTATATGTGACTCTGTCCCCAGGGAAAGGAATGAGAGCAGATAAGATGTGACAGATGTGTAGTCACGTCACTTAATACACTACTGGAAGGTGCTCAAATCATTATGGTGACAGGCAGAGTATAAAAACTTGCAAAGAATGGACCAAGCAGTTATCCAGTTTTCTGCAGACATGATTCTTGTAATCAGAGAAGATATTGAGGTCCGTGAAGTGCTGTTTGAGATAAGGCAGCCTGCCAATGTCAATATGCAATAGAGTCATAACATAAAAAATAGAAGGGTGCACAGCATATATGTTTTTGTCAGCAAAACCTCTCCATCATGAATATGAAATACATCTCATGAATATGAATTCAAGGTCTGTCCTTTAAAAATTTCCTGTAATGAAACATTTCTGAAGAGGTTTAATTAAACTCGAAATGTACCCAAATCAGGAAGCTTAAGCTTAGCAACTGTAGTTGTCCAAACTAAGTTTTGTTTTTCAGCTATTTTGCTGAAATCTCTTCTCTATTTTGGTTTAGAAGACAGAACAGTAAGGATAAAACTGGAAATCATATGGTTACTGGAGAGAATGGGACTGGTCACTTGTTTGAAGGCAAGTATAAACCTAAGAGTTATAAAAAAAAAAAAATAAATCAGGACTTCTGTGCAATTGGCCAAGTAAAGTATGAAAAATGCAGGATAAAATAGTTTCCTCACTTATTTCAAGTTTACTAATCCTGACTGTTACAAATATTAATGTAGGTCAAGAATATTTCCAAACAGCAGCATGATTTTAGCTGCCAATGTCCCTTCAGTAGGGACCAATACCACTGCTGTTGTTTCTCATAGACTGTTAGACCCAAATCCCACAAATTAATCTGCACAGGTAGATCCCTGTGCCTCTGGGAATCCGCATTAAGGCAAAGAGGGAAAACTAACTCACAGGATCAGATTCTTAATTTGAAGCTGGACCACTGTAACTCATTATGACACTAATCATAAATATCTCACCAACACCCTCTGCTCCCCATCTGTTTGTTTTATCTTATTATAGTTTTATATCTCAATCCACGGGACTGGCTGCAGTAGTTGAATTAAACACCTGCATGTGCCCGTGTTTCTGCAGGGCCAGGTCCTCAGACACACGCTGATTTTTCCCTGTGCTTGTGCCCATGCCTTGTTTGCTCCCTGAACGGGACAGCAAAATAGAATGACATAATTATAACATCAATTTCTTCATTTATACAAACACCGATATTGACGTTTTCAAATAATCCCGTCCTTTAAGCCAAAGGATAAGCTCCCATCCACTTCTGAGGTGCAGCAACTGGTATGAAGTAACCCGAATATCAAAAATTACCTGGAAAAGTGTGACACCGGGCTTTAAAATTATTTTGAAGAAGCACTTGTTTCTTTATCGCACCGTCACAAAACAACAAGTAAATTTCTTATAATCATGGAATATCCTGAGCTGGAAGGAACCCACAAGGATCTTCAAAGTCCAACTCCTGGCCCTGCACAGGACCACCCAAAGAATCACAAATGATATTCACTGCAGACTACTAAATCAAATCCACTGGCACCAACCAACCCTGAACTGAGGAATACTGAATCCAAGCCAGTCACCATCAGGCCCAGTGCAGGAGGTTGGATGGACCTTTCCTTTGACCCAGGATGGCCATTCTTACAGAGAGCCCACAGGAAGAAGCCCACAATATTTCAAGGATAACTCCACTAAAACTAATCCCAGAATCCAACTTTTAATTAAACTAAAAAACACACATTAAGGTATAAGTGTGTTTGTGGGCGTTGGTTTCAGGTTTGGTTTTATTTTGCAACTTTTATCTTCTTTTGAAGAAGTGGGGTTAAGAACTAAACCAAAGTGCAGTCATGCATTTATTACATATTTAAATACTCTGATTAACAAATTTGTCAAACAGGTAGATGAGGGAATGTGGGAAATATACGTGCCCACAAAGCAAAAAAAGGCACAGACATAATATTAAACCTATTAAACGTGCTATTTTCCAGAATTATCAGCACCAACCACGCTTATTTTCACTACTTAGAGCAGAAATGAAGAATAGCCATTAAAAAAAAAATCCACAGAACTAAATAAACTGCTTGAGAATTCAATGTGGAAGACTTCTGAAAGGGTATTTCCCCTTCCTCACCAGAGAGACATTAATTCTGATTTTGGCCCCTGGATTTGTACTGAAATTTGGTGATAGTTGGAATTTAGGGGAAGCATTCAAGATATCACAGAGATATCTTTAAAGAGTAGTATGCTGGATCATAATTTTCTTTCTCAAATCAGAGGTTAAATCTGCCAGCAGAAATTCAGCTCCAGCTGGGAAATGCAGGATCTCAAAACAGTAGGGTCTTGCCTAAGACCAGACTGGCAGCATCTTTCCCCTTGAGAGGCTGCAGCTCATGGGACCTTTTGATTTCAAAACCCAGTAGAAGCCAGGAGCTGGGAGCTATCCATCCACAACTGGTATGAGAGGGGGTCCCACCTCCTCACTTGCTGTAGGACAATCAAAATACCCCTGTGGGCTGCAGTTGGCACCACTGTCACAGGTTACAGATCCACACTCAAGGAAAGATGCTTAAAAACAGTTTCTTTCTGCTCACAAGTCCATTTACCCTTTCCAAAATCACCTGTCATTAGTGTCAACTGCTGAGGATTCACAAACTAAAACACACACAGCCTGAGTGCCTTGACAATTCAAGGCATGGTACAAGTTAACATCAGCATTTAAAACTTTCAAAAGTATTGCAAACAATTACCACGCCCTCAACTCACAGATAAAATATTCTGTAAAGCTTAAATACATATATTTCTGGCATGAAACATTTCTCAGTGCTGGCAAAACTTCCCTGTAATTTTTTACAACAGCATACTTTGAGTTCAGAAGCTGGTTGTAGGGTAAAATTGTTTTATTTATTAAAACCCATATGTGGTCTTACCTTTTAGCAGAGGCAGGGGAGTTAACTCGATAGGCTTGCCCTGAGACCTAAACTGGGAGGAGCTTTGTGACCTCTTCTGTCTGGCTTTTCTGACGGACTTCCGAGAAAATCCGTCTACTTTATCCACTGATGGAGGAGTAGTTGGTGCTGAGGACATATCCCTACTGAAGGAAAACAAAGGTTACAAATATACTCCAAATGAGTGAAATGGGTAAAGATTAGCCTAAACTTCCCAAATATCTTCTTTCTGCACCACTCTCCTGTTGACAACTCACCCACATAAATACTGTTAAGAGATTTAGCCCACCGATACATTTACACACTGTATGGAATAAACTTAATGGAGCCTAATCATTAATGTAATAATTCCTCTTGCTCACTTTTTTGTCTGTGTCTCCCATTTGCCAAAAATCCTGCAACGGGAAAAATTCAGACCTAATGCTGACATCATTATGTCAACAGAATTCATGCACCTGTAGACCTGACATTGCTTTAAACTATGTATTCTTTGGGATGAAGTAATTTCAACTCACTCTGCAAAAGACCATGTATGCTAAAGAATGGATACACAAAAAGGTACAAATGTTTTTTTGGCATTCAAGTCACCAATATGCATGACCAGAAAAAAAAAAAAAATAGGACAGCAGAAAAATTCCATTTGCTTACCATACCTGCATACCAGATTTTATAGAAATGTAAGAAGGTATAGCAGAAAGTACTGTTATACTTCACAATTTCGCTAGCACTGACAAATTCTACATAATGCTTCTTTATTCTCCATTTTAGAAATACTCAGTTACTTTCCTGTGAGTCTCTTTACACGTAGTTATTCCACGTTCTGGCATTTCTGTAGGACCAGCAGTGTGGTAGCTGTAACTGTTCTAAGGGCACAAGCCAGACAAGGTTTGCAGGGAGAGGCAGAGAGCCAAAAAAGGCTTCTGCAAGCAAAAGTTTGTTTGTTTCCCAACTTCAGCTGGTGTAAGCAATAAGCACTGCATCTTCCTATAAAACCGGCCTTGGTAGTACTCCTGTAGCTGATTCCATACCACTAGGAAACATTTAAACAGTGAATTAATGCATTCACCTATTGTATTTACCAGTCTTGTCCTGCGTGTTATAAAGGCTCATCAGATCTTGATGAAATACGTGAGCAATACTCAACAGAAACGAGACGGGAGGAATTCAGGCCTACATGTTTCAAGCAGCTCTGTGCACAGTTAACTTCACCAGCGTGTGCAGCTCCCCTGAAATCAGCAGCCCCATCTGCATTAATGACACGATCATTAGCGAGAGCAGCTCCGTTGATTTCAGCCAGGCCACACACTCGTGCAAAGTTAAGCATCGGCGTAAGCATTTGCAGGATCAGGGTCTTAGAACATGTCCTTGGAAAGCATTACTCATCCTCAATGTCTGTTGACTTCAATTACCAAAGTGACTCCTTTGCTACAAGAAGTTGATTCCACGACACAGAGAACACTTTCGAGTACTTATTTTTATTAAAATATTTGATTACTCGTAGGCTTCATAAATTACTAAATCCCCTGAAACAGACATTATTTGGGTTTGTCTTTTGTAAGAAAAGCTTTCGAAAGCATGATTTGTTGCAACAGTGTAAACAAGCTCCGGAAGATAAGAACTGTTTAATGCAGAATCACATATAGGTGCACTAAATCTATCAAAAATGGGAGTATAAACTCCATAGCTTCTTCGAGGAAGCATGTGCAGCACTCAGAAGGTGAACTGTGCAGCTGGCATTACAATAATGAAAAAAATCTCATTCCATCTTTTTGATTTCTCCTGAGGTATTCTCTCACTACCAGCTTAGGCTTTCTAAATATAATATACTATCAGCAACATGAACCCGTACCTTAAACTGGTCTTGTTTATCATCTGGGCGGAAAAAAAAAAATGCCACCATCACCAGGGCATTCAGGCCCCAGCCAAGATTAATAAATAAAAAAGTCAGATAAACTGAAATAGAATGGCCTGTACTTTAGTAACCCACTTCTAAGATTTCAACAGTCCGCCAAAAAACATACAAACACGAAGTTACCTGTTACATAAACCAAATTCTGGAAATATCAGCAAAAAATACATTCCCTAAACCTGAATCGGTTTGGCCCTATTTCATCTCATCAGAAAGCTTCCCCTCCTCATCACGTGCATCATTAAAGTGTAACCATCCCTGCAGAAATGTTTGCACGCTCCCTCCAAATTAAATTACAAAAAAAAAAAAAAAAGAAATAATAATAATGGACAGGGACTAAAGTAGATCACTTAAACTGCAGGATCATTGTGTCAGCAAGGAGCTTTACTGACACTTCCCCGCTGTAAATTTAGTAACAGTTTCCCTAACCTGCTTTATAAATTATTAAAATCTAATTCTAATTCAACAAGACTCCATCCAGCCTAACAACGTTACAGTAAACACTGATCTTTCTTTTCGTCTCCCCAAATGAACATTCGCTGCCCTGCATACACTATCACAGGGAAATACTCTGTTTCCACCAAGAGTCGGGGGGGGAGGAGGGAGGAGGGGGAGAATAAAGCCCGAGATTATTTATTGTGTGCGAGGGGGAAAAGCTGCAAACCCGGCCACCCGCTCCCCGCTTCCTCCGCTTTATTCCCCGAGTATTTTGGTAAATACGAAGCCACGCTCATCAGATCCCTCAGCCCCGGGGAAGGGGGGGGATGGTGGAAGACGCGAAAATACCGACGGATATCGGCGGGGAAAAGGGAGCAGAGGCGCAATTATCCGCTCCCGGCTGTCATTTCCAGACGGGATCTCCGCAGCTGGAACATGTCCTCCCGCAGCCCTCCTCCCGCACCGCCGGGCCGGCCATGGAGTTAACCTTGACGCTCCTGGGTAGAAAGCGGGACGGAGGGAGGCGGCTGGCGCCTTGGCGGAGCGGCCGATGCCTGCGGCGGCGGCGGCGCCCGAGTGCGGTTCTCGCCGGGCTCGGTCGCTGCCGCGGCGGCCAGGAGCCCTGTAGCCTCGGCCTCGGCGCGCGCGGGCCTCCCCGGCGCAGGGCGGCGTCGGCGGCGGGTTCAGCAGCGCGGGCGGCTCCGCTCAGTCCCGTGCACTCCGCTGCCTGCGGTGCCGCTGCCTCTTCACATTCCCGGAAGGCCCTGCGAGCGGGGGTGTGGGGGGGACCGCTGAGCACGCCGAGCCGAGTCGAGCGAGGGGGAGCGGCGGCCGCGGAGAGGGGGGGGCAGTGCCGGCAGGGCGAGGAGCGCGGGTTCCGCCGGCGGCGCTGGCGCGGGGGAAGAAGAGCGAGTGGAGGGTCCCGGTGGGCGTCGGGTCGCGGTCCTATTGTGGCTCTCAGCGGGCTCCGGCCATGGCACTCGCTCGCACACACTCGCTCGCTCACAACCGAGCCGCGCTGGGCTGCCACGCCCCCGACCGCGGACCGCCCCGACGCCCACCGGAGCCGCCGCCGGACGCGCCGCCTCAGTGGCGCCCGAAGCCGCCTTGGCCGCCGGGACCGCCGGGAAAGGGCCGCCCCCTCCCCCGGCAGCGGCCGGCCCCGCCCTCCCGCAGCCCCGCCGATCGCCGCCATCCGCGGGTCCCTCGCATCCTTCGCCCGGGGGAGCGGCGGGGCCCCCTCGGCTGAGCGGTAAAACCCGGCGCTGCTGAGGGAAAACCCCGCTAAGGCTGAGGTAAAGCCCCCCGTCGGAGCCCCTCGCGGGGCGCAGAGCCCCTTCCCGGGGAGGGCAGCGGGCGAGGGGCCGCGCCGGGTCCGGCCGGAGGGACCCGCTGCGGGCACGGCCGCAATTCCTTCTTTGTCCGCAGTGGGAAGCAGCGGCTGCAGCCTCCCTCTCCTCTCTGCACCCTTGGGTTTCTTAGCCCAGTGTGTGATCGCTGTCTGCACCACCCTTTTTTATTTTTTTCCCCCCCTTAAGTGTATTTTTATATACTTGGAACCAGAGACCAGCACAACGGCTGCTTGTAGATAGGACGGTTAAATGTCATAAATTTTTGTTTAAACTTATCTACCCGATGGCTTTGGTGTTTGATGGTTTTGTTTTGGGTCCTGGTTAGTTTGTTTGTTTGTTTTCCCCAAAATACAGCAAACGGCTATAGGGCAATGGAGCTGGCGAAGGGACTGGAGAACATGTCTTTGAGGAGCGGCTGAGGTTGTTAAGCTGGAGTTGTTAAGCCTGGAGAAAAGGAGGCTCAGGGGGAACCTTATTGCTCTCTACAAAGGAGGATGTAGCCAGGTGAGAGTTGACAGGTAACAAGTGACAGGACAAGAGGACAGTCTTAAGCTGCACCAGGTGAGGTTTAGGTTGGACATTAGGAAGCATTTCTTCACAGAAGGGGTGATTAGACATCGGAATGGGCTGCCCAAGGCGATGGTGGAGTCACCATCCCTGGAGGTGTTTAAGGAAAGACTGGACCTGGCACTCAGGTGGTGTTAACACGGTGGTGTTGGGTCATAGATTGGACTCAGAGGATGATTTCAGAGGTTCTTTTCCAGTGTAATTGATTCTGTGATTCTGTAATAGTGGTAATATGGCTATTACATTTGAAAATACTCTCTACTGTTTCTCCTATATTTCTGGCAGAAAAAAAAAGGTGACTTATATGAGCAGCAGCCCTCCTGCATTGATATCACCAAATCCCTCTGAGGTACAGTCTTTTTTTTTTTTTCAGGAAATGAGCTCAAGAGTAGTTTGAGAGCTGGTTGCTTTGGTGGATCAGTCACATCCCTCCTTTTAGTGCAGGTACAGAACCCTCTCAACATTACTAATCCTGCGAAGGATACCTAGTTGTGGTCCCACTCAGCTTCTTGACTCAGCTTTTGGCATAACGGAGGGCGTGGGACTGTGTCAGACTCGATTTAAAGTGATGTAAGCTGTTGTCAAACTACTTTCAAAATTGCTAATTTTCAGGCAGCTAAGTTCCCTGGTCCAGTTCACGTTGAGGAACCTGGAACACTAGTTAAAAGCTCATGGCTACTGAAGTATGTGAACAGTTTTGCCTCTCATCTCTCAAAATGCCTCTTCATATGTTAAGAAATAGGCCTCCCCTAAATTCTTTTACCCACAGACAAAGTGTTTTCAGTTCATTTCAATCATTCATTGTGTGACATAGTTTTAAACCTCTTAAAGTGCTTATTTCTTGGCTCTGTGTCGTCTCAAAATCATTCACATCTTTTTTTGAACTGTAGCACCCAAGACTGGACACTGCTACAGTTGAGGCCTCAACATCTGCTGTCCTGCCTGTCACAGACCACATTCCTGTGTACATGTGCCAATACAAATACTTTAGAGTCAGTCTGATCTATCCACAGTCTTGCTGACCTGTCTTACCCCCGCATCCATTTCTGCTGACCTACCAAGCCAGTTATTTCTCCCTCAAGTAGACAGTAATGCTACTTGAGAAATTACTTCCTGCAGCAGCCCTAATGCTATGCCCTCATTTTTATTGCTGGATAATCAAGCAGTCAAAACACATTTTGAAATAAAATTCCACGTGATGTTAAGTCAGAAAACTGTAGAATTTGTCATCCTTTGTGAATTGACTGCATTTCTCTCAAGAATTGTATTTGAAAAAGCAAAACTTAGATTCAACTGTGCCACGGTTACAGAAAGGTTGTGTAACTAAATTTAGAAGAGAGATTTGTACATATTTGTAAATATTTTAAACTTTAAATTCACTTAAACTAAAGCAGCTAAAATAATGTAACTGTAAGCAAGGATTGGTAACAAAGAATGTAGGTCAAGGAGAGGGTGGTGTTATACCAATATAAGGTAAAATATGATAGAAACAGTGTAGCTTCCCATCAGTGAGGGACAGAACCTGCAGACAAACATGTTTTGCTGTTATATGTACTTAATTCTGTTAAGTTGTGTTTGTCAGTGACATACTTTCATTCTCAGTTTTGGTCACTGTCCTGTGTGCTGCTTTTGATCTGAACAGTGCAATGAGCAGCTCAGAAAGTTATTGCCAGCATACTCTGCAGAAGGGAAGTTCTAGCACAGCCTGATGGCTACACTGGCACTTTAGGTGCAGTTGAGCAAGTCATTTTACATGATTGTACTTCAGTCTTCCCAGTATGAGAAGAAATCCATCTTTGTAAAACACTAAAAATCTAAAATTGAAGCCTCTGATGTAGGTATCTATTAAAATAAGTGCCATAGAAGGGATAAAAACCAACACTGCTGTCCAAGTCCTGTGCACACAGAGGTTTTTACTCCTCATTCTACCTTTGTATAACAGCTATCGAATTAGTTCTTCAGTACAGCTGAACAAGCTGGTAAATAATGCATTCAGCTAGTTTATTTCTTAGATGGTCATCATGTGGTATGTTTGGTCCATTTTGATTGTGTAAAGCATTTTTATGATGTGTTTTATATCAGGTGATGTTTGGATGGTAACAATTCAAGACAAATACAGGCTTTATCAGTGAATGAACAGAAATCTTACCTTTTCTGTTTCGCTTGGCCATCAGATTTTGCAGAGTAGGCTTCCCACTTATTTCCAGATCGCTTTCTTTTTCCTCCTTTAATCTGTGAAGTCCTCATCTGTGAGAAGATTTAAGAGCGTGATATAAGATATGAATGTAAAACTGCTGGTATTTTGAAGGGGCACTTGTCCTTCTCCTATTCTCTGTTTAGTCTGCATTTTGTAAAAATTGTTACTTTTAAAAAAAATGGATAAGTGAATTCCAAGCAGAGATGGAGAAGAACTAAGTACTACAGGTGTTTTACATAGATGTGTATCTGTATATGTTTATATATGTGTTTGTATAAATACCAATTTGCAAGAATAAAAATTGACTTTCATCAGATAAAGTTCACATGACCAACATCTCCCGTACAAGTGTGTGGGCATATATATGAAAATATAGGCACAGTCAGTACCTGCAGCCCTTCCTGGAGATTTACAAGCAATAATAAGTTCTTTTGATCAGTGTTTCTCCACTGCTGTCAAAGGTACAAGACAAGCCTATCCTTTTCATAAGTGGCATTGCCTTACTCCCCTACGAAAGGGCTTTTTAAAAAAATGGCAGGAGAGGAATTTTCAGGGCTAGCTCCTTGCCAGTTCAGCACTGTGCTTTTTAGCACCCAGTTGGAACAGCAGTCAAGAGTCCTCCAAAACAGAGATTTTTGTACCAGTGACTCAGATTTGTGCCCCTTCACGTTATTTTGTGTGGTTGAAGTTCCACTATAGACCATCTGTTATGGCCACCCAGGCAGGAGTATGGAGCTCTCATCCACACTGGCATTCTGCTCTCTACATAGCAGCTTATCAAACGGGATTGCTACGGAGATACCCCTCTGGAAGTCCTGCTCCGTTGAGTGATAAACGTAAATGGACCTAGCTGGAGCTTGTAAATGTCTCACATGGCACGTCTGACATGTATTTGTCTACAGGAGGGGTCACATAATGCTCCATAAAGGATCTCCGATATGTCAAAAGGAGCATTATCGGGGGTACCATGGGATTAGTTCAGATATTCCCTGTTCCAATACTAGTAAGCAAGAAAAGACTTGCTCTCCCCAGAGAACTAATTATTCAGACCGGCAAGAAAAAGACCAGAAAGAGAAAGCGTTATGGAGGAAGCAGCAGAGCTGTTTGAAGAGGCAAATCAGCATGTGAACAAGGCTTTTCTGATACATCTTTTAACAAAAATGAACACAGTGGAACACCACATCAAAGCAACTGTCCTGCTCCATCAGCGTGATTGAAACGGCACAATCTGTGATTTTTTTTTGTTTACTTTTGAATGAAATTCACACGTAACAAGAAAGTGTTTCTACTCAGTCTGTTTACCCTGCACTTGACTCCTGATTCATACGTTCTACGTTTTGGGGAGGAGTGGCATGTCCGGCTTCTGGGTGACATTTGTAATCGCTGTACCAAGTTTCTGCCGTAATAACCAAGTGCTTGTTCCTCCTTGCCTCCCGCTCCTCCTCCTATCAGCTCTGTGATAACACTGTCAGTGCCCTCAGGAACTGAATTCCTGGTTGGGGATGGGGGGGGGTAAGCGTTTTAGGGTCACAGACACAACTACCAGAATGGGAACTAATTCTTCCTCTCTGTTTATAGACACTGCGTCATTTGAAGTCTGTTTCTCTAGTCAACATGGCAAGATAAGTAGGAGCTTGCTCGCCTTGGCAGCTGGAGAGCTGCCTCCTCCCAGCACCACACTGCTCTCACTGATTCCCAATTCACGGTTTTGTTCCTACTTTGCTCCCCTCCCCCAGTGTCTTAACTTGCCTTCAGGCCCCAGGCACTCCTTTAAGCCAAGTTTTCTGAATTTTCTGTTCGGATTTCCTTTGCTGCCTGTTTACCTCCGCCTTCCTTGGGCTTTGCAGTGCCCTCCTCGGCCAACCTGCCCTCCCCAACTGTCCCTGCCCTCCCCAACTGTCACTCCCCAGCTGTCACCCCCCCAACTGCCTCGGAAGGTTCTAGTGCTCCCCCTTTTCTCCTGGGGCAGTGCCTGCAGGGCTGCCTCTGGTGCCTGAAGCTGCCTGGAAACACAGCCACGTGTGTGACGTGGTCCCCCTGTGCCACTGGGGTGTTTCTGAGTCCCAGGTGAAACGAGCTCTGCTTCTGTTCCTTTGCTTTGTGATCAAGCCTCCTTCCAGTAGCTGAAGGGAGTCTGCAAGAAAGATGGGGAGCGACTTCTTACAAGAGAATGGAGTGACATGACAGGGGGGAATGGCTTCAAATTGAAAGAGGGTTTAGATTGTGTATTAGGAGGAAGTTCTTTGCTGTGAGGACGGTGAGGCCCTGGCACAGGTTGCCCAGAGAAGCTCTGGCTGCCCCATCCCTGGAAGTGTTCCAGGGCAGGTTGGATGGGGCTTGGAGCAACCTGGTCTAGTGGAAGGTGTCCCTGACCATGGCAGGTTGGAATGACATGATCTTTAAAGTCCCTTCCAACCCAAACCATTCTATGATTCTGTGATTCTGTCTCCTCAGTTATCTCTGCATTTAATGCATTACAAGCCAGTATATACAGTGCTATAAAACCATCCTCTTCATGTGAGCACGTTTTACTGAGGCCCAAGTTCCTACCTACAACATCACACCTTGAAAAGAGCTAATGAGTAAAAAATACCTATGTCTGTTGAAAGTGCCCAGCAGTGCTTTAAGTGTGTGAACTGTAGCACTTCCCACATCTCCAGTGAGGCACCTACCAGCTCCCTCCCAAGCTTGGTGCATCTCTCATGGTTATAGCAGTTGATAAAACTCTTGAGATTTTCCCCAAGTTCAGAGTCCCTGAGGCTGGAGTAGGCTGAGACAGAGATATCTTGTTCCCTTTGTTATGAAAGAGAACAAGCAAGTACTCGTGTTGTATTTTTCAACCTGCTTTATCTCTGTCTCATGGTACAACTTTAACCTATTGGATACTTTTAAAGTTTTCAAATTATGGCAAGGGAGAGTCTTCTGTAGTCAGTAGCTAAGCTCAGCATTGTAGGGAATGCTTAACATCAGAGGGGGTCTAACAGCACTCAAACAAGTTTAAAATATAAGTTTTAATGGGTTCCAGATTTTGCAGTACAAATGAATGAATATGTATGAATACTGCCAAAATGGGAAGGACAGGAAAAGAAAGGTTATAGGAGCATTTTCTAAAGCCTTCCCAGATCTACTATCAGGGTTAAACAAATATGATAATTTTGCCACTGAGATAATTACATGAATAAGGAGGTTGTAGTTCTGTCATGACCCTGTAAAAGAATTACAGATGCCCTATAAATGGCTAGTAAGAAAGAACTTCACACGAGAGAGGAACTGGAGTTGAAAACCAAAAGCTATAAATCTTAGAAAAAGACAGAAATTGATTCGATTTAGACAGAAAATAGCAAAGAAACACCTAAATAATCTCCTGACTAAGCAGACCTCACAAAAATAGATGACTGGAACAGGAACAAAACTGGTGTTCTGTGCAAGTGCTGGAAGTGCTAGAAGTTGAAAAACTTGGTTGAAGAGATGAGGTTGTCTCACTTTAAAGGAGCACTGATAGAACTGATTTTTAGGAAATTCTGCGAAGGAATGGCATTAAAGCCTCTCCAGCACCTCATGGCAGAAAGAGAAGAGGATGCCAAGGTTAGGATAGGAATAGCAAATAAAACAGAAAATGTCATCATACCATTGTACAAATCCATTGTGCATCCTTCCTTATCTTTAATGCTGGGTAATTTAGTATGGACTGTATTTAGAGAATACAGAGAAAGCCAAAAAATAAGATGGCTGGGTACAATTCTCACAAAAGAAGATGATTAATACACTGGGGATCTTGAGCTCAGAAGAAAAAACTTCATGCTGAATTTGCTAGAGGTTTGTCAAGATCTTCGATGGAATGGAGATGGGTGAACGAGTGACTTATTTATCAAAACTGCTTTGTGTTATTTGATCTTGTGTTCTCTGGCAAGATAGAATATTACAAGCTCTCACATCCTGTTATGAAGGCAAAAAGTGTGAACAGGTTCAGTAAAAGAAGGTTTTAAAAACCAGATGCTCAAGGGCATCAAGGAGATTAAATTGTCCTTGTACTTTAACATAATTGCAACATACATTACATATGCAATATATTAATGACTGTAGAAGCTTATTTACCACTAAATAAAAATGCACCACTATCAACTTTAAAAGTCGGTTTTATAGAGAAGTCTAGACACCAGATTTAGGGTAAGATATCTCAGTACATACAGAATAATTTGAGCCAATATAAAATGTGTGATATGATAATACTTGGCATATTATCATTATTGGATGGCTTCTTTGACATGCTGTCCAGCCCCCACACTTAAGAGAATTTTCAACATTATCCAGTGTCAGGTAGGACCTGGAAGAATTTGTAGCAAGAATCAACAGCCAAGACTTCAGTGAGAGCTGATCAAAACCAGAAATGAGATTTTCATTTCTAAGAAGGCACAAGGAGAAGTTAAACCCACGATTTGCTAAGGCACCAAATGGCGCCATAGGACACTCCTGGAAAATTCATCTTAAGCTATATTTAGTACACTCACAGAAATTGTGGCTCCCACTTGAGCCATTTCAGCTCAAATATAAATAAATAAATAAATATTTAAGAGAATTGTGTGCTTCTGAGTCACGTTTAGTTCTAATATGTGTCTTTCTAGGTGAGCTCCTACCTCGGAGCAGATTCATCTCTAGCTGCAATTCTGTAGGTGTGCACCTGTACTTCACGTGTTAAAGTCCATCAAAAATACACTAGACAGTGAAATGCTAATATTGAAAGCTTTTAGTACACAAATGGCTAACAAGAGCCCTTCAGACAAACTCTTCCCTGCAAGTTTGTTTTAGAATAATTATAGTTTCTTGCAGTTACTGGCTTTTAATGATGGGCTCTTGAGATTTTTTTTTAGTTCCATTATCTTTGTAGAGTTTAGTTCTTGAAATTTTATGACGATCTCATTGCATGAGTGTGAGATACTCCAGGGCAATGCTGTTCAATGCCTGCTTGAGTACAATTTTAAAATGTAATTTTTTTTCTTTTCTCTGATTTATACCTAGGTCAGATTCATATTATTGTCTTGGGTTCCTTCTTGAAAACTCACTGCAGCTTCATTCAAGATCTTAAAATATGATGTAAGTCACATCCTGCAAAATGTGAAAATAGATTTTCTTCATCTTCTACATAAAACATCCTTTCTGAGTTACTAAACTTTCTTCCAAAGTACACTGTCTTTGATCCAGAATTTCATTCTGTGACATTCAGACTTGTTCTGATTGCACCAAATGTAATTCCACCCCCACTGAAACCCACCTCAGGCCTTTTCCCAGTGTGATCCAGCTATTTTTCTTTGGGATGTTACAGGAAGCTACACACTACCATTCTGATACACGACAGTGAATACGCTTCGAGGGGTTTTTTTTTTCATAATTCCTGGTAGCATTGCAACTCAGCAAACTGTTTTGATACATCTGTGTAAGCAATTTAACTCTCCTCCTGCTCCCCACTGCAGCTCAGTGCTCTGCTTTTAACAAATTGGCAGAATCCTAACAAATAGGCACTCCAAAGCTGTCATACGGTGCTGTTGCCTATCATCCCATTCAAATGGTTTCTTCAAGGAAATTGCCAGTAGTGTTAGTCCTGCTGGTTATCATCTGCAGGATATTTCAACCAGAATGCCATGTATGCAGAATTCTTGATTTTACTTTAGTTTGCAAAAATATTTGCCGTCTGAAGTGTTGTCTGCTTATTCGAGCCATTAGACAGAAATACAAGTAAGGTTCTCTGCTTTCAACTGAGATTTACAAAAATCCTCATTACCTCCTGGGAAAAAAAAGAAATGGCAAAAGACATTTGAAGGAAAAGAAGTAGGGCATCTATTGCTGCTGCATGTTTAATTTTATTTGATTTACTATACTTAACTTTTTCCTTTGTTGGCAAAAACAACCTTAGCGGCTGCTAATGCTGTTGCCAGTGTCTCCATCTGCATCTTTGGTTACTTCTTGGATTTGTTCTCTTTCTGCATTTGCAGAATTCTGCTTGCATCCTCTGGACTCTCGTGGGAATTTTTCCCCTTTGTGGCCAACATTCACAGCAGCTTGAAGTTACTCTCATTGTGGATGACATTTTCCTGCAGTTGAAGACACCTGAGCCCAGTTCCCTCTCGAGCCTCTCTTATGTGGCCTTGGTGATCACTGCCACTGATAAGGGAAATGCCTCTGTCTCATCTTCAGAAGTCTCAGATTCACGTTGTGCACACCCATGTTTCAGTTCTGTCATTAATCCCAAATCCCCTTTTGGAGCGTTTATCTGAATTAATCTCATCTTGTAATTTTGCCATGTAGCTTTATTTTGCAGCTGGACCCTTCCTTATCTTTCCTTTTGTAGATTCTTTCTCTTGGGAGTGGTTTCATTAAAACATCTCAGAAAGTATTAAATTTAGTCTCAAAGTTGGTACTGTATTTGTTGGCATTTCTGTTTTCTGCTGACCTTTACTTAAATGATTATGTATATGCATGTGTGCATGTATATTTGTAATGCTTTCTGTCTTGTTCAAGTTTAATTTTACTCCCTGAAACAAGCTTTTCTCTTGAGCTCCATGTCCCAGTTGTTTCGTTAGGATTGTGACAAGTCTGCTCATACAAGGCACATCCACGGCACATCTGAAGGAAAGTAAACATCCTGTGTTCCTCAGCCTTCTATAAACCCCAGCAGATGGCTGCTGCTTTGACAAACTGTGTGGAATAGGGTGGATCACATTTCCCATGCAACAGACTTATTTCTGGAAATCCAAACCCAGTATAATTCTTGGAGGTGGCAGCGTGGATCTAACCACAAAGTAGTTTAGCCCAAATCAGTCCTACGTGGCGACTCTTCGTAGCTCAGACCCCCTTGCTTTTTGGACTGGATGTACAGTGGGGGATACCTTAAATTGCTGATTCACACA